AAATGTTTATGAAAATTAATAAAATATAATTTAAAAAAAAAGTTAAGAAGGATAATAGGTCAAAGTCACCTCACTCAATGGTCCTGCTATTGGTGGTATAAGTAGTATTTTACACAAGACTACTTCCTATAATGTTGGGGGAAAATATTCAATGTCTCTTGGACTGCCAAAAGAACAAACAAGTATGTCTTGGAGAAGGTACTGCCAGGGTTTTCCTTAGAAGCAAGGATAGCAAAACTTCCTCACAAACTTTGGACATGTCAGGAAGGAAAAGGACATCACGCTTGGAAAGGCAAAGGGTCAGTGAAGGGTGAAAAGACCATCAATGAGATCAATTGACTTAGTGACACTAACAATGGACCAGAACATGTTGGAAATCATGAGAACGGCACAGGATAAATCAGGGTTTGGAGCTGATGTTCATATGGTCGCTGTGAGTCATAGAGTCAACTCAATCCATCTAACAACAACCTCTCTCAGTGGAGATTGTAGTCAATTCTAGGGTAACAGAGAAAATCCAGGTCCTTTCCCCCTGTCTTCCAACTACACCCAACACACAGTAAAAACAGAACCCATTGCCCTCCCCACTTGACTCATGGTTTCCCATGTTGTAAATCCTAAAACGGAAGGAGACTGACTGCCTCATTGTTCTCTCCTGGAGCTGGTGCCTTCCCCTTTGCCCCCTTCTCTCCCCTTTGGTTAGTAACCCAACACTGAACCTACTAAATCAGCAGGCTTCTTTAGTCACACGGTAGGTGCTGTGTAAATTTCCACTGACACTCATTGCTGAGCTACTTTGATAGTGCAGGTTGGCACGTAAGGATTGAGGGCACAGATTGGAGCAGATCTAAGAGCACAGTAATTTGTCAAAGGAGAGATTTAGCCCTTTGCTACTAAAAAAAGAAAAAAGTGAGGATGTCATAGCTGTTTCTTAGATCACTTTTTGTATTCTGCACGTTTCAAAATGAAAAGCAAAATTACTTGTAATCGTGATCAGACCTGTTAGAAACACGCTATCTGTGCTTGTCAGCAATTACAATGAGTGCAGAACGATAAACTGGGAAGTGGCGCCGTGGATGATTTTCTTTGCAAGGGTTTCCCTTTTACTGTTCTTGGTAAAAACAAAACAAAACAACAACAACAAGACCAACAACAAAGTGATTCACGACTCAAAAGAACTTTTCCAAGCCATCCTCTGAAGAAAAGTACCACGAAAAACTGACATTTAGAGAAAATTATGAAATCACTTCTGAGCCCGTCTCTCTCAAAGAACACGGTCCCCGGTCGCAAGGTTAAGAAATTCAAAGATAAGCATGTGTGAACCATTGCTACCAGCCCCCAAGAGCGCCTTCCAGGGATTTGAGGGAACCACTTCTCCCGACCTCAAAGAACAGTCCTCCAATCGCTTTCCGAAATCTCCCTCCTTTTGCTTGTCCCTACAGTGCGTCAATGAAACCGGCTCGTTGTCATAGGAGGGCGAGCCCAGCGGTAAATCACGCGAGACTCGTTGGACGGGAGTTGGAAGTTAGGAAACAGCCGTCGCGCATGCGTGCTGGTCTCACAACCGCGGGTCTGCACGCTGGGTAGGTAGGCTGGATCGTAGAGGAGGGGAGTAAAGCGTGCTGTTTCTTCCCCTCGTCCCCAGCGCAGTACGTGGGGCTGCGGGTCCGCAGAGGTGCAGAGCGCAAGGCCTTGGCCCGGACTGCCCTACGCGCTGTGTAACCGGAGCCCCCCTCTTGCAACTCGTGGTGGAGTGTAGCGGGCGTGTGCCCGGCATCGGAACGTGGGCTTGTGCCTGCCTTTTCTCTTAACGGTCGCCCCACGCACACACTTCAGACCCCATATAGTCGGTCGAGGCGCCCCTCCTCACCCGGCCCCTCCCAGCGGAACCCCGCCACCTGCTCCCTCGCCCGCAGCGCCGCGCGCTCGCTGTCAGCTTCATCCCCGGGGTCCCTGGCTTGGGGGCGGAGAAGATGGCTGGCGGACGCCTGCTGTTGGGGGGCGACTTCCTGTCGCCGCCGCCGCTGCCCCCCCTCCCGCCGCCACCGCTGCCGCCCCTCCCGCCGCCCCCGCCCGAGCCAGTGCTGGAGCAGTGGCGCTATAGCCACGAAAGCGACGGGCAGTGGGCTCTGCGGCGCAGCTTCATCTGCCGGCACCTGCACAGCTATCCCGGAGCTGCCCTAGACCAACTCCTCGCACTCTCCACTGCCTGGACCAACCACGTTTTCCTGGGCTGCAGGTGAGGCAGGTGCTGGGGTCGGGATCGGATGGGAAGAGGGCAGGCGGGCGGATGAAGTCTTAGAGGCTCTGGCGATTTGGAGATGCTGGAGGACACCAGACGCGATCGGGCTGGTTGGGGGGGGGGGTGGCAGCCGACCAAAGTGACAAGAGGTGACATAACAGCTCAAAGGGTGCGGGAATTGCCAGAAAGGCCCGTCCAGGGCCAGGGATGGAGATCAGACAACACCTGGCAGAGTCGGATTGCGAGGTGGTCGTGGTGGTGGTTTGAGAGGGCGGGGAGAGGAGGACTCGCAGAGCCCTAGACCTGCGTGGGGCCTTCCAAGGATGCGGTATCCGCTGCGGGTATTCCACAGTCGGGGCTGTGCACAGAGAGGGCGTGCGGAGCTGGCCTTTCACTTCCTTCATTCTCTTTAAATTAGACACCTCCCCCCACTTGCAGCCCCCCAACTGAGTCTTCCTGTCTTTTGCCTGTGAGGCGGTTTGTTTGAGGTCTCTGAGCCTGCAAGGGTCCGCCTTGCTTGGAGATTTGCGCATACTGTGTCTGGACTCAAACAAAGGCATGAATATATCTTGTGAAAATGAATTGCCTGCCTTCTCCCTCAATGGGATAAGAAGAATTAGCATTTGACCCCCTGAATGCGGTGTGTGTTTGTTTTTGCCATCATAGCATTGGGAAGAGGTCTCTTTGAAAGCTTTCTGCTTGGCAACAGAGACTGCAGTGTGATTCCAACACATCTCTCTTTAAAAATGGGCTACTGAGGCCTCTGTCCTTCAGAACCCCACTTCCTTATATTCTCTATACCAAATTAATAATTTTTTTTATCAACTGGAAAGCTGCCCTTTTTCTCCACACACACTCCAGCGTCACAGTAAGTTGAGTTTTGTTGGGTGTTCCCCCTCCCCAATCTGATAAGATGAAAAATTCTGGAAAATGACCAAGTCACATTCAGCCCATTCACACCCAGGAATGACTCCTAACATGTAAAAAAAAAAAAAAAAATGTCAACTTCTACTCTTAATGATTGACTGGGGCTTTGCTCTCGTCACAAACATTTATTTTTTCTGTCTTCTCTAGGTTAGTGTAATTTCTACCTCCAGAGATAATGAATTTCACTGAGAAACTGGTGACAACTTGGGAAGCCTCAGTAATTAATCAAGTCAGATAAATTTAATTACCTTTTTCTTAACAATGTTATAAAGGTACCTTTATCTTCTACTCTTAGGTCTCCTTGATATCACAAAAGGCTATTGGGGAATCTTGATCCTTAAAAAAATTTTAAAAGTTATGTGGAGAAGGGGACTAACCATCCTTTGTGTTAATCATCAATCTTACCTTGTCACTAGAATGTAAGCTCTTTGGGGCAGAGAATTTTGCTTTCTCACTTTTATCCTCTGTCTAAAAGAGGCTGCATAATACCTGCTAAATAACCAGTTGGAGTGAATGGTGTATAGCTTTGCAATGTACAAAACATTTTGAGTATTTTATGATTGCGTTTAATACTCATCAACAGCCATGGAAGGGAGCACTAGTGGCAAGAAGTTGTGCTGCAATTCAAATGGCACGTGGTTCAAATCCACCAGCTGCTCTGTGGGAGAAGAATGGGCAATCTCCCATGAGATTAACTGCCTCTGAAAACCCGCCAGAGGGTCAGCTACGGGTCGGTTCTGACTCTACAGTACACAACAGCAGCCTTGGAAATTAGGTGGTATCTCGTTTGTACCACTATAGCAGTAGAAGCCAAGAAGTTGAGGTCTCACGGTTGGGGCTATGACCTGAGTCTTCTACTGTCAAGTATGATGATGCACTTCCCACCGAGATACAGCTGTCACACTTGGGTAGGAAGGATGAATGAACCAAGGTGAAAAAGCAAGTTGCTTTTTCACAAGCACAAACTGAGCTCAGTCTGTCTCAGGATTTCCATCCAGAAACAGCAGCCATAGATATAACCAAGGCATTAAAAAAACAAAACAAAACACAAAACAGACCAGGTTGATAATACTCATTGCTATTGAGTTGACTCTGACTCATGAGATTTGTTAGAGTAGAACTACTGCCCTAGACGGTTTTCTTGGTTATAATCTCTATGGAAACCAGTTGCCAGGCCTTTCTTCTGCAGTGCTGCTAGGTGAGTTCAAACCTCTAACCTTTAGATTAGTAGTTGAACATGAACCCCTGGTGCCATACGGAGAATTTAAACCCATGATAGTCTGTTAAAAGCTTAAGTTTCCAGTATGTTGCCATTCCACCCCCTCCTTCTAACCTTCCTGATGTGTATTACAATATGTGTATTATAGTCAGCATGCCCCCATGCTTTATCAGGCAGCTTGACTGAGCAAATGTTTGCATTGTATGTGATAACATACATATTAAACAAAAAAGTACCAAACCATTTGCCACTGAGTTGAATTCCAACTCATAGTGACGCTGTTGGACAGAGTAGAACTGGTCATCATGTTTCCAAGGCTGTAATCAATAATGTTTAGCCACCAGGGCTCCTTAATATAAGAGAAAGGAAAGGCATGTTGTTGTTGTTGTTGTTGTTATGTGCCGTCGAGTCACTTGCGACTCATAGCGACCCTATGTACAACAGCCCTAAACTCTGCTCTGTCCTGTGCCAATTGCACTGTCTCTGACACTCCCATCCCAATTACCCCAGCCCTCGTAGAGGGCCTTCCCCTCCTGCGCTGTCCCTCCACCTTCCCAAGCATGATGTCCCTCTCCAAGGACCTGTCTCTCCTTACAACATGTCCAAAGTATGTTAGACAAAGCCTCAGAATCCTTGCCTCCAAGGAGCCACCCGGTTTAACCCTTTTCAGGGTGAACCTGTTTGTTTTCTTAGCAGTCCATTGTACATTCAATACTCTTCTCCAGCACCACAGCTCAAAGGCATCAATTCTCCTTCTATCCTCCCTAGTGATTATCCAACTCTCTGACGCATAACAAGTGACCATGGCCTGGATCAGATGCACCTTAGTCTCCAGAGAGACACCATTGCTCTTCAGTACTCTGGAGAGGTCCCTAACAGCAGACTTTCCCATCGCAATACATCTTTTAATTTCCTGGCTGCTGTTGCCAAGAGTGTTTGTTGACTGTGGAACCAAGCAAACTAAAGCTGTGAACGATCTCAGTCTCTTCATCATCCATCCTGATGCTGCCCATTGGTCCAATGGTGAGAATCTTTGTCTTCTTGACACTGAGCCTCAATCCATTTTGAAGACTGCAGGGTTGTGATCAATAATGTTTAGCCACCAGGCCTCCTTAATATAAGAGAAAGAAAAAGCATAAATATATAAGTGTCTTGGAAACTGAGGACCAAGTACAGTCTTCCACCTGAGATAGGCTTTATGCTAGCTATTCACATCAGGTGGGAAAATATCTATACTTTAGTACTAGTTGTTATGACTGACTCGGAACTGACTCAGAATTGACCCTCCAGCAGGTTGTCAGAGGCAGTAAATTGCACAGGAGGAGATTGTCCATCTTGTTCCTGCAGAACAGGAACAGGTGAGGGATTCGAACTGTGTGCCTTTGCGTTAGTGATACAACTCCTTGCCACTAGATGATGGTGAATTTGGCTGAGTTTGTGTTTTCTGATAGAGCGCTCTTATTTTCTCCCAATGAAGCAGCAGAATGGTTAAATTGCTGTTGTTTGGTGCTGTTGAGTTTAATATAACTCAGAAGCCTTGTTAACAACAGATATGAGCATTACCCATCCTGTGATATCCTTTCCATCTCTGATATACTTGAGCCTGTTGTTAATAGTCACGGTATCAATCCCCTGCCATTAGCATCTTCTCTTTCATTGCTCCTACACCTTTCCTAACATGATGTCCTTTTCTAAGCACTGGCCCCTCCTAACAGTATGCCCAAAGTATGTGTGATTTGAAGCTTCGCCGTACTTGCCTCTAAGTGTGCCCCTGGTCACACTTTCTCCAAGATGCATTTGTTTGTTCTCTTAGCAGTCCATGGGATAGTTAGTACTCTTCTCTAACACCACAGCTCAATGACATTGATTTTTTTCTGTCAGACTTACTCATTGTCTGACTTTCAGAAACATAGCGAGTGATTGAAAAGACCATAGCCCTGAGTCAGGTGGACCTTAATCTTTAAACTAGTCTCATTGCTCCTTATAGCTCTTTCTAAAATTAAGGAAACCCAAGTGATGCAGGAGGGAGCTCTAGAGGCTTAATCCATAGGGAGTTGCATTGCTAACCTAAAGATCCTACCTTTTCGGTATTTCTAACCCACCTTTAATCCTAAGTGAGAAAGGTGGATGATCTTCAGTGCCATTTACAGCCTCAGAAACCCACTGAAAAGTTGGCTGTGAGTTGGTTCTTATGGCAGTGAGAGAGGTAGTTCAGGGCTTCAGTTCTGAGCTGCTAATCAAAAGATTGGAAGTCAAAACTACTAGCCAGTCAACCGGGGAGTGTGGAGGTGTGGGATGTGGCCATCTGTTTCTGAACAGATTTACAGTGTTGGAAATCCTAGGGGCGAGTTCTGTTCTGCTACTATAGAATCATTATGCTTTGGAATGGATAAACAGATTGTTAGTTTATTGTTCAAAGTTCGCCACTTAGTTTTTAGAATAGAGAGTTGACTATGCAAAGGCTTTTTTTTTTTTTGCAAAGGCTTTTGACCTGTGTGGATCACAACAAACTGTGGCTAACTCTGAGAAGAATGGGAATCGCAGAACATTTGTTGTGCTCTTGCGAAACCCATACTTAGACAAGGAGTCAGTCGTCAGAACAGAGCACGGAGACACTGCATGGTTCAAAATTGGGAAGGGTGTACACCAGGGATGTATTCTGTCTCCATACCATTTCAGTCTATATGCATAACAGATCATCCTGGTGTCTGGGCTCTATGAGGAGGAATGTGGCATTAGGATTGGAGGAAGATTCACCAACAACCTGTGTTATACAGATGACACAACCCTACTTGCTGTAACTGAGGAGGACCTGAAGCACTGCTGCAGAAGGTCAAGGACTGCAGCCTTC